AATTTCACTATACTGGTCATGGTAATCTTTTTAATCAATAAGTTCAAATGTAATTAAACATTCTAGAAACAATGAAATATGCTATTCATGCCAGCACATGTTTTTTATTAGGAAGATACAGAGAAAATAAACCATCACTAACATTTCTGCACCTAGGAACAAGCAAATTGGCCCACCCCTCCCACTGACCCTTCGATTCTGCTTTTAAAACAATCACTGCCTCTGTTTTTCTAAATACTGGTGACTCGTTCTTCATTCACTCATATCATTTATTATGGTAAGGGTATTAAAAAGCTGATAGTTTATTTTTGTAAGGTAGGATTTTGCTCTGAAATCTTCTGTGATTTTCCTGTAAAGTGTTAAGCTTCTGAGTACACAGGTTTATTGCAAAATACTTTTCAAAACAATAGAGAAATGTTAAACAGGAACAGTTAAGTGAAAGTAACACTTTGCACAAGCCCGTAACCAGGAGGTAAGCATGGTTAAGTGTCTGGAGTTTATTCGTCCCAGTTTTCAATATGGATAGAACAGAATAGTATTGTATAATAATTTGTAATATTTAATTATAAATTATAATATTTAATAATATTGTAATATTGTTCTGCACCTTACTTTTTTAATTTTATCAAGACTTCAAGCATCTTGTGTCAGCCAAACTTCTAATACAATTATTCAGTCTGATAAATAATGTAAAACTGTTGCAAATATATTCATGCAGTTAAATTTTGTTAAGGATAGTTATTCTAGAGAGTATAGAATAACCAGAACTTTGTGACAAAGGAATTATCTAAACTCTGAGCTTGTTTAGCACAAGTGGACCATTTGCATCAGTGTTTCCAATGCTACATCAAATCAGAACAAAAAGTTACTTTTTAAACCAAATATTTTGGTTCCGTCCTTGGAAACGTCCATTCTGCATTTGCACAGCCCTTCTTATGGTGGCCAGGCCCACAGGGACTCAGTCCTGACAGCTGTCACGGTCTGAATTAGTCATCCAACGTCATTCCCCACCCACCTCAATTCCCTTGAGCTACTATCCCCTGTAAACACTGTACTCTGAGAAAAGCAGAACCACCTCAAACCAGCTTGCTGTTCTAAAATCACTCTCCTTTCCTCCTCAAGTCTCTGTCTCAGTGAAATTCCCATTCACTCAACCTCCCAGACTTGCCGTCGTGAAGCCATTTTTTCCCTCTGCCTATCATCGCCCAGCCTCCTGTCCTCGGTCATGAGGACCTGCCCGCAGCCTTCTCCCTCAGCAGTTAAAGCCGCTCCCCCGACTCCCGTATCACCACGGTCCAGCCCGTCAACTGAACCCCTGCACCAGGCATCGCGGGATGGATGTATCGGGCTGGCCAGAAAGTCCGTTCAGGTATGACAACCCCGCTAAAGGAGGGGCCATGAGTCAGGGGAACAAACCTGTGAGAATCCTTCCTTTGTCCCTTCCAGAGATGTGTATCACCCTGGACTTTCTACTTAGTGCGTTTGATCATTTGTAAAAAGGGAACACTTAAGCTATCTTGTGCAAGTCAACTTAATACATCCAGAACAGAAGCTAGTATATGGGAGGTCGTCCTTAAATGTCTTTCTCCTTCTTGCTCTTTCCCCACACCAGCCTGTCTTATACACCACATAAAAACTGTGCCTTCAAGTCAGAAGGCCAATCAGGTCACTTACCTACTTAAAGACCCCCACTGACTTCCTGCTGCTTTCAGGCAGGAATCTGAACATTTTATCATGCGATAGATCTTCCAGCCTTGTCCAAATGACCTTACTTGCTTCAGCTTAAAGCAACCTACATCAGCAAGCCTGCCTTTGCACCCCCTCCACTATAACGCACGGCTGAACCCCCGTGAAGTGAAGGTGACTCAGTCACGTCCGACTCTCCGACCCCATGCACTGTAGCCCACCAGGCTCTTCTGTCCATGGAATTCTGAACCCACGGTAGACACTAATTAAAAGTCTGATGGATGGATGGATGGATGCCCAGAGATGGACAAGTACATGAACACAGGAATACATTTACAGAAAGACAAGGTTTATTTACTTATTATAAGTACTTATTAGTGATGCATATTTCTAAAATTTGAAGATGGAAGGCTTCCTTAAAGTCCCTTAAAATGCACAGAGTGTGTAACTCTCTGGCTGCTCTCGTTTTCATTGGAATATATTTGACTTACAATGCTGTAGTTTTAGGCGCACAGCAAAGTGAATCAGTTACACACACATGCACCCACGCTCGTTTTTAGACTCGACCCCACACAGGTCATCACAGAATGTGAAGCAGCGCTCCCTGTGCCGCTCAGGAGGTCCCTGTCAGCTGCCTCTTTTGTGTGCAGCCATGTATATATGTCAGCCCCAATCTCCCAACTTACCCCTCTCCCTAGTGTCCCCCCTGGGGACCGCGCCTTTGTTTTCTACCCCTGTGACTCTATTTCTGTTTAAAAACCTCTCCCCCACATTCCGAGATACTTAACAGATCTGATTTGCAAGCTTCTAAGGAGCTGATCCGAAGAAGGCAATGGCACCGCACTCCAGTGTTCTTGCCTGGAGAATCCCAGGGACGGGGGAGCCTGGTGGGCTGCCGTCTATGGGGTCACACAGAGTCGGACACGACTGAAGCAACGCAGCAGCAGCAGCAGCAAGGAGCTGATCACACATTCCTGGGCATCACTGCTGTCTCCCGAATGTTCCGGCTTATAGTGAGAGCAAAGTCACTCTTCCCACTGCAGACGGGGTGCAGGGTCTGACTCCGATGACAAGCCACACCGCGCTAGCATGGGGTGACTCTGCAGAGCCTCTGCACAGCGGTCAAGGGCCCAGCACACTGTGGGCGGCCTGACGCCGCCTGGAGAGTGCTCACAGGCAGAGCGGGAGCATGGAGGTCAGAGAACAAACCAGGTCAGCAGGGGTGGCAGGACCGTGGTCATGGGGGTTACCAGGTGGTGGAGGGGGTTCAGGGAAGGCCTCACACAGGAAGACGAGCCGGGTCTGATTTCAAAGAGTATGACTACAGCACTTCTTTGAGACAGTTGAGAGAAGGTGGAAATTAAATGTTAGTCTGGAATAACTGGGGGCTTCCCGGGTGGTCCAGCAGAAAAGAATCCACCTGCAATGCAGGAGACGGTGGTTCAGTCAATCCCTGGTTTGGGGAGTTCCCCTGGAGGAGGACATGGCAATTTCACTCCAGGATTCTTGCCTGGAAAAGTCCATGGACAGAGGAGCCTGGCGGGCCACAGTTTATAGGGTCACAAAGCGTCGGACACGACTCAGCACGCGCGCGCGCACACAGATTGCTCCTCCGAGCTTCAACTCGCACTCATCACCTCCTAAACTGAACTCTTCAATCACTCTGTCCCAAGTCTGTAATTCCAGAAATCAGGAGTTTCTAACCAAATTAAAATTCTGAAGAGCAATGTCCTTTTATGAAATGATTACTTTCAGAAATGATATAAAGTATAAGTTAATGTATCAGTATATTCCTGCCAAAATAGGTAAGTCAATAAAAATGCACTTCAGAATCAGCTTTTATTACAAGGCAAAGTATTGTAAACATAAAAATCTTGAACTTGAATTACACCTTTTATTATGAACATTTCACTCAATAAAAATCTCATGAACAGGGTCCAACTGATGACAAATTCCAAACTAATGAAATGTTCCTGTAACTTAAATAAACAAATTTAGATCACCAAGTAAAATCAAAGCCAAGTTTATTTGCACAATTCAAGAACGATATGAATGTCTAGAACCTCTAGTGGTTGATCTTTCACCATCTATAACAAACTTTGAGTGTATTCTGAGTGACACAGTAGTCCATGCATTTCCAAGGACCGAACATCAAGGCATATAGAATATCCTCTCTACTCCCGTGTTTAAGACCAAGAAATCTGAGATGCAAGGAAACTCGGTGACGGACGACGCAGCCCCCCAGCTGTGAGCACTCAGGTGGCTCTGGGTCAGGCCGTCCGGTCTTGTGCAAGCTTCCCTTCTCATTAGCCCTGCTTTCTGTGTGTGGAAGCATGTGCGTAACTAACAGGGAACCCCTGCTGGTCACCTGCTCACCATCTGCTTTCATTTCCTGCACAGGCATCTGTGCAGGAAATATTACCTGGATCCCCCCAAAAAAATGTTACCTGGATCCCCAAAGGCAACACGTAGACATTTTTGTTTGAATATTTTGGATGAAAAGTTCTTAAACCAAGCTGTGTGGTAAGGGGACCCAAAGAAGTTCAAGAGTCACTGCTGATTCAGGAAGAATACAGCTTCTGGTGATAAAGGGCCCTGTCCCAACTCCTGGCAATTACCTGTCAATAGATGCTACAGGAAAAAAGGGAGATACATTCAGTTTAAGTTTCTCTTTCAAATTTCTATTTTCAACAAACAATTAATAGAACCCAAAATGTTTTTCAAGCATGGGTTTCCCTGGTGTCTCAATGGTAAAGAATCCACATGCTAATGCAGGAGACCTGGGTTCGATCCCTGGTCTGGGAAGATTCCCTGGAAAAGGAAATGGCAACCCACTCCAGGATTCTTGCCTGGAAATCCCACGGACAGAGGAGTCTGGTGGGCTACAGTCCACAGGGTCACAAAGAGTTAGCGACCAAACAACAAGTGTTTTCCTTTATGAGCAAAAGGCAAATTATAGTTTTAGAATTAGAGTCTATTAGATTCAACCTCATTTCCTCTTTGTTTCCTAGAGTTTTAAAGGTTTTTCTTAAGCCCAAAGGATAAGTTCTTCAGGCAAATATTTATTTAGCATCAGTCTTACACTTTCAGTTACTGCTGTCTGGTGGGTTATAAATGAATAACAGAATTCCGCCGGTCGCTTAGGCTCAAGACAGTTGCTTTTTTTCCTGTTAAGTGCCCTACCACACTCTGAACGAATGAAAGCCTGACTGTGCGTCCAAAGGCAGCCATCGTTTTCTGGTTACACCTCAGCCAAGACAACACAAGTTTAAGGTGACACAGAAATGGAGTAAAATAAAAAGAATCAACATATGTACATTGTTTTAAAATTTTATTTGCTTATTAAAGAAAGGTTGGAAATAGGTTTGCAAAAACACATCTGCATGTACAAAGTAATCCATGTGGTTGTGGAGGGCACGCTCTGGAACACACTGCTGGGCCGGCTGGCCATCGAAATTGGGACTCTCTGGATCAGAGTCAGTGGGAATGCATTAGGTTATACGTCAAAAGCCACTGGAAAGAACTGAATCTAGTCTCACAGTCGCCAAATTCAGAAAGGCCGTATTCTAACACATATTCTTGGATACCAGTGAAGCTAGTGACCAAGTGATCTCAGAGTTAGATCAATTAATTAAGCAAGAGGTAGTTTCTCCAATCATGTCCCTTTTTTTCTTTTCACCAAGGTCATTCCTAGAGGGGATAAGGATAAATGACATCATCTTTGAATCCCTTTGAATTCCTGTTCTGGGGCCCCATTTCCCTCAAATACAGTCATTTCTGTCTTGTTGCATTTTAGGACTCGCGGTCACCTGACGCAGAAAGGATTCCAGAATTCAACTTTAGGGCCAATCTTTCTCTGAGGACATCATTAAAACAACAAGCAGAAATCAGTACTGTGGTGTATGGATTAAGGAGTTTCTTTTTAATACACTTTTCTGTTAATATAACAATATTAACAGTGTCCAAATAGGAGACGCAGGCTGATGCAACAAGCCCCCAAAGGAAGCATACCAACCACACGGTGACCTCCCTCCCGGGTCCGTCGCCTTACGCGCCTTCGTGGTCAGTCCTCCAAGCTCCGCCGAGACTGTCAGATCCCAGAGCCCCACAGCTCTATGGCCTCCAGCTCATCCTGGACAGGGGTGAACTCTGGCTGGTCAGGATGGGGAGCTGGAGGGGGAGAGTGGGGTGGGGGCTCGACAGGACCCAGGAGCCACAGGTTGGTGCCCTCCCCTCCTTTGGATCCGCAGAGGCACAGGTTTGGTCTCTAAAGTACAGAGGTATCCTGCTTGGGTAGAAAGTGAGAGCGCCCCGCTCCAGCAGGCTGTGCGCACCTTTTCCAGGAGGTTCCAGATGGTTAGTAAAAGAAGGGTCAGGCGCACCGCAGAAATGGTTAGCCAAACTGCTTAAATATGACGTTTTATTTACAAAAGAAAACCCGAATATCAGCAGAGTGACGAAAGAAAAATAAAATTTAAAAACCAACCTCATGTTAGAAGTCCAACACCAGGGGACAGGAGGCAGAGGGGGGTGATCAGAGGAGAAAGAGGCAGCAGGGGACCAGGAAGAAGGACGCCCAGCAAAGTGTGTGCGCGACGGGAGAGGAGAGGGCACCGTGGAGTGACTGCTCCTGCGCTCCTCCTGGGGAAGTCTGGGACAACTCTCGGCAGCCAGCCTTACACCTTCACCCAGGCCGATACGGACCAGTCGGTTTTTGCGACAACTGACACGCGACTTGGTCGAGCTCCAGTCTTACCGCGGTTAAGTGTTTGGAGCAGGGAGGGCAGGAGATGAGAGGGTGGGCAGGTGGGGAAGTAGGTGGGCAGGGGAGAGGCGTGCCCGTGGTCAGGGGCGGGGCTGGGTGGTCATGGTCAGCAGGACAGTTCTGTGTCTGCCGCCAAGAGAATCAGAGGGAAGAGCTCCATGTCAGTGTTGGTAATCATTGTAAGGGACCAGATCTTAGTGAGAGACAGAGGAGTTTGAGAGAATGGGGAGGGAAGAGACGAACAGAGAAAAACACATCAGCACGACTCTGACCAGTCCCTCTGGGAAATAAGGCTAAACTTCTTATAAAGCAGAAAACTTCAATTCATTGGCTAATAGTTTTATTGCCCCAAAGCAATCTCTGAACCTCTCTCCTGATGCTTCCAAGAGTGACTATGTTAGAAAATGTCCCGTTATACAACCTTCTAGCCTGGAGACCACAGATGTTCTTAGGAAGCATAATTTTTTCAGGATCTCAGTTCAGTAGTTAATAAGAGGCAAGGCCAGTGTGGCCACTTTTGCTTCTTAAAATAAACCCTGGTCATTTAAAATGCATGTGGTGGGAAGGATGTCACCCGATGGAATCTCCAGGTCTCTCCTAACTATGGGGAAAGTTCTAAGTTTGAGGTGTCCCCAAAGCAAGAGTAAAATTTAATAGGACATCATGGCCACATCACAGAAGTAACACAGCAGAAGAGGCCCCAAAGAATTATCAGATGTGTCTCTCAATGATCACATATGAGGTCAGAGGCCGTCTGCGAGCAAGGCAGACTGAGATGGGCACTCTTTTAAATTTCCCCTTAAGAGGTGACCTCCAAATAATTTGCACTTCACAGGAGAGGCTTCTGGACAATTTAAAAGGTAGGGAGCAATTCGAGCTCTGTTTCCTGCTCAAAACAGGCCTGCTTTTCAGAGGCTCCCCCCACCATTATGGTACTAAGACAGTAAGATGTGCTCAAAGTCCACGAAGGGCTGACACTTACCTCCCACGCCGTAGGCAGAACACGAGGAAGGGTCGCAGTATCCAGGCTGGCCGGACGGACCCTGTGGTCCAGGGACCCCCAGGTGACCTGGTGGACCCCTTGGTCCAGGAGAACCAGGGGGCCCCGGGCTTCCTGGCCGACTCTCCCCAGAAGGCCCTAAGGAGAGTCCACCAATGGAAACAGTTGGTATCTTCTCATCACGGGTGAGGTTTCAGACCACCAAGTAAGCTAACGCTTACAAGAAGCCATCTCACACGTTCTGACAACTAGGGTGGTCTGCTCTTTCTAATCAGTGAGTTCTATTCCTGAACTAGATCTGCTAGACAGAGGATCACACTGCAATCACACGTTCGCCTGGAGGTCAATGCTTTCAATCAGCTCAGGAAACTGGAAAGCAAAATGCATTCTTTTTCATCACCTCTTGAGTATCAAGGGAAAGGGGCAGGCCACCACCAACCTGATGTCCTCCGCGGAGCTTCCATCCCCAGGGCAGGCTCCCAGGGATCCAGAGTGAGGACGCGTGCAGACACACACGTCTCCACACACACGAACACACCTGACCCCAGTGCAGGCTCCCAGGGATCCAGAGTGAGGACGCGTGCAGACACACACGCCTCCACACACACGAACACACCTGACCCCAGGGCAGGCTCCCAGGGATCCAGAGTGAGGACGCGTGCAGACACACACGTCTCCACACACACGAACACACCTGACCCCAGTGCAGGCTCCCAGGGATCCAGAGTGAGGACGCGTGCAGACACACACGCCTCCACACACACGAACACACCTGACCCCAGGGCAGGCTCCCAGGGATCCAGAGTGAGGACACGCGCAAACACACACGTCTCCACACACACGAACACACCTGACCCCAGTGCAGGCTCCCAGGGATCCAGAGTGAGGACGCGCGCAGACACACACGTCTTCACACACACGAACACACCTGACCTCAACCTGGCAGCCCCTACTGGGTGGTGGCCCCAGACGATTGAAACAAATTATTCTAAGTTTGAGAGAAATTATACTGCAGGAGAAAAATGAAAATTCTGAAATTGGACCCAATATATGAATCCAACCTTTCTTTAGGCTAGCTTGTATCAATTGAGAATGTAATACTGAATAAAAATGAGAGGGCGATTAAAATTTTTGTGAATTTAAGAAGTATGTCAGACTGGAATTTTTCTGGCTCATGTGTTTGTTTTGTTCCAGATCTGGATTTCAACAGTGTTTCAAAGGCCTTTTTCAATTAGAAATGAATCTCTTCTACTAGAACCAAAATGAAAATCAGAAACACATATCACCCTGTATTTTAAAAGTGTTGCTAATCTCTGGTGAATCCAGTTCCATTCAATTAACATTCACCAAGCATTCATTCTGTATAAGGCATGATCTAGATCAGTTCCTCATACAATCTCTAATAACAGGAGTATGTATATTCAAAGCAGACCTATTGCATTAGGAATCTCTCCTACAAAAAGTATTTTCCAAAATCATCAATAGGTTGGCAAGAAAAACCAGTAAGTCATTAGATTCAATATGCTTAAGACTGGGATTGTAAATACCAGTAGGATTGAAAACTTATAATTCTAATAAACAAGTAATGCCATCTGGAGACCAACCTAAAAGCACATAGTAAAATTCACAAAACCCAAAACTTGCGCAAGCCCCATGCAGTGAGATGACCGCGGTGGCAGAAACTGTGAGTGCTCATCACACGGCCATGTGTCCCCTAGGTTTTGAGCCTCCAGGCCCTTCAGCTGGGGCTTGTGACTAGTCCCAGCCCGTGGACTATAACCGGAAAGGACATCTGTCATCCTCCATTCAGGAAGCTGACCTTTCTCCTCACGGCCCTTTGCTCTAAAATGAGGGGAAAGTCAGCCTACCCACATCAAACTTTGGGTACGTGTCAGTCCACGAAGCATCTGGGGCTGATTCATTACTGCAGCGTAGCCTGGCCCCAGCCTGACCCGCAATCAGTAAGGTGCTCACACGTGTTCTGGGCCTGATGAACAGGAGACTCCTCACTAACACGCTGGCCTTCCAGTGAAAGGAACGGCACGCAGCGCCGCTCCAGCCGGCCACATGGGTGTAACAGGGAAACATGGCCATCTGCCTCGCCTGCAGTGTCAAGGGGACTCTGAAGACTTGGGGTCTCCATCCTGCAGTTTGCTGTTGGGCAGGAAGACTTACCTGCTGGCCCAGGGGGGCCTCTGGGACCTTGAGTTCCAATGCCTGGATTTCCTTTCTCTCCCTTCACGCCAGTTAAACCTAGTTGTTGTTGTTGTTTAAAAAGAAAAAGGAAAAGAAAAGAAAGTTCTCCTTAAATGAAATCTGGGTAGTTCTGTTTTTCCTGGGTTTCACAAGGATCTCTCTGATGAGGACAATGAGGGTTGATTTGGGGTTACGTTACCACGGGGCTTTTTAAATTGAATCCTGACACTGGGGCCTTTGCACACCCACACACAGAAGGCTGGCTGTGTCTGAGCGTGTTGTCTGTGTTTGTCACAACGCAAGTTTACAGTCCTCCCCCCACTGAGGTGGCCCAGCCCACTGGGATCTGGCCGGCGTTTTGCACACACGGGCCATCGGACTGATGCGGCTGGCACTCCGCAAGGAGCACAATAGAAATAACCGGTGGACATGTCTAACATTTTCCTTTGGGTCCACCCTGTAATGTATCTGCAAAAGGCATGAATTATAATTAGGCAGCAAAGCTCTACAGAGCCTGAGTTTCCATTAAAAACTTGGAAGCTTCAGGGAAAGCCTGTGTTTGATTTGGCTGATTCAGCTCCATAAAAATCTAAACCTATTCATGTTTCTTTTCCACTGAACAAACCTCTTCTTCCAAACAATTTATGGTGCTATTAACAAACTATACATTTTCACAGGCAGGAAAACAAAGAAACATACACTCTGACACCTCATCGTCCCAACAGGCCCTAACACAAGACTCCTGGACAGGTGGCAAGGCCGCACGGAGGCCCGGCCCGGCACAGACGGCCGCGGCGGCGCGGGGTCCGGGCTGCCGTGGCTCACAGCGCAGGAAGTCTTCAGTGTCTGTTTTCATACGCACAACAATACTTTGAATTAATAGGATGCAGAACTACACCTCTTTGCAATTGCAAAGAAATTATGTGTGAGTTGGGAAAGCCGAGGAGGGAACATACCTAAAAGAAAACAATCAAATTGACAGGCAGCCGGCATGTGACTGGTCTAAAGTGTTTAAAATCACAAATAACTTTTTTTTCCCTTCTAAGTGCAATGTGTATTCACCGTAGACAAATTAGAAGACCCAAGAAGCAATGACTCCAATCCTAGAAAACAACCACTTTTGACATCTTGGTTTGTAACTTCCAGAAAGAAAGGTATTGCTGCAGTATTTGCTCTGGGAATAGCAGGTTTTTCTACACTACACAGATAAAGATTGTCCTTTGATGTCTGCTGCGTTCCTAGTGACCACTTTTTGGGGTCAAGGTGCACCGGTCACCTTTTAGAAAAGCTCCTTGTTATCGGTCCTCGGGGCTGCTCCCCTGCAGCGAGGCTGCCCTAACACGCGTGCGTGCTGCACGTGGCCTTGGTAGCACTTTCTGAGCTCACCAAAGGCCAGAGCTGCAAGGAGAAGGCGGGGCGCTGACTGCGGAGCCCCGACCTCCTGCTCCGAGGCCCACTCTTCTAGGAGCTGACAGGAGAGAGTGGCTCCTCAAAAGTAAAAACTACAGCTGCATCAACACTTAACACTCCACTGTTAAATCCAGTTGTTCAGAAAACCATCCTGAGTCTACTGGTTGCTATTTGTAGCTGCTAGCTTGGCTGACTGGGTAAGAGTTGGCGTGGGCACTATTTCTAATCAGAGGGAGATGCTGCCTCGCTTGAAGTTGTGCCCTAACACCCACCGGGAATTCAGCAGAAACCGCCTCTTCTGTGAGAGTTGGAGCCGCTTTCCCCATAGGGACGCACTCACTGTTAAAGAATTAGAACTCGAGAAAGGACGCCGCTGTTAACGGCAGGCTGCATGACTAACGGCACGGTGACTCAGGCCTCCCGTGACCTTACGGTACCCACTGATCTATGCTAAGGAGACGGCTCCCCCGGGACCCCCCATGAGAGGGAGACGGAGGAGATTTGGCTGAAGGGGACACTCAGGAAAGAGTCCCTGCGCAGAAACCCGACGAGTTTCCTGACCGACCCTGTCCTTCTCCACAGAGAAAGCAGAAGGCAGGGACCACTGTGGAGCAGGGAGTCTGGTTGTTTAAATTTTCTACCTACGTAGAGAAAAACAAGTGGCATTTGATATTATCTGCAATACAACCCAAAGCAGGAGAAGAAGGTCCTCACAAGAACGTTCCAGCCCCTCAAGATGCTTAGGGCCACCTTCAGCTGGCAAAGAACCTGCCTGCAGCCCAGGAGACCCGGGTTCAATCCCTGCATCGGGAAGATCCCCTGGAGAAGGAACTGGCAACCCGCTCCAGTACCCTTGCCTGGGAAGTCCCAAGGACACAAGAGCCTGGCGGGCTACAGTCCATGGACTCACAAGAGTCGGATATGATTCAGTAACTAAACCACCAGATGCCTTAAGAGAAAAAAAAAGAAAGAAAGAAAACTGTAAGGATATAGTTATATATATACAGAGAATTTTAGGTTTCATTATCCTTGACCTTATGAAATGTTCCAACTACATATAGCCTAATATGTTATATGTTAATACTTGCCTATGTCTTCACTTGTGTTTCTCAGACTGAAGGAATACTCATGAAGCTGAACTTGGTTATAAGTCTCTTTTTTTGGAATGAAAAAACCATGTTAAACATCCTTATTTAAGTAGCTAAGTGAGGACTGAGACGGAAGGCCAGGTTCAGAGACCTCAGATCTCTAAAAAGAGAACGGGAAATACTTTTTTTTTAAAGGAGCTTTTTTGATGTGGATCATTTTTAAAGTCTTTGTCAAATTTGCCACAGTATCGTTTCTGGTTTCTGTCTTTTCGGCACGCGGGATCTCAGCTCCCCGAGCACGGATCGAACGTGCACCCACTGCCTTAGGATGTACAGTCTCAACCACTGGCCACAGGGAGCCCCTGGGTGTCTCTGATAAGCCTCGCAGGCTGTGATCAGAAGAAAGGAAGTCAAGTGTTCCAAAATGTCAACCAGCAGCTGTTCCTGAGACGGCACTGGAGTCTGTAGACCGAGTGACTGCCTGCAGCCACCGCCCATGATAAGGTCCCTCACGCGTCTCTCTGGTGAGGGTCCAGGGTGGGGCCGCTTGATGCCAAGAGGGGGTCTGCAGAGCTGAGTGCCTGCGCCCTGTCCACGAAGACACGGGGACTCCTGAGGCCACGGCTTAGTCCCTCCTGCGATACCCGTCCTACTCTGGCCGTCTCCACAGATACTTCTCATTCTCCAAGACTCAACTCAAATCTTCTCTACACCCATAACAGGCAGAAGCACAACAGATCCAAAGGGCAAGGATCACCTATTTCATTCATGCTATATCCCCAATATTTCCAGGTGATGGTGGTTTATTGCTAAGTCATGTCTTCTTGCAACCCCACGGACTGTCCATGGGATTTCCCGGGCAAGAACACTGGAGTGGGTTGCCATTCCCTTCTCCAGGGGATCTTCTCGACCCAGGGATCGAACCCGGGTCTCCTGCATTGCAGGAGGATTCTTTACCAACTGAGTCACCAGGGAAGCCTGTAAATATGGAATGCTTCACGAATTTATGGTGCCTTCCAAAGAGCACATAACTAACAGTATTTACTGAATGAACAAATGAATGAATGATTTGCTTCCATATTATCTGCGCCTCCCTTGGCACTGATCCCATCGCATTGCTTGTTTTTACGTTCATCCGGCCTGGAACCAGGAGCCTGCTGACTGCAGGGATCATGCCTTATTTATTGCTCCAGCATCAGATCCAAGCTCTCACATAGTAGGTGGTCCAGTAAACACTGGAAGAATAACGGGATGACTGCATGTCTACACCATCACGCAGAGGATGGTTAAAAGCAGACATGACCTTTGAAGGATCAACAAACAGAATTTCTTAGGCTGGAAGCCTGCTTTTACTTTCACATGCGTGGCTTTTGTGGAAACTGTTTTTTCCTAACAAGTTCCTTATGGGGCCATATCAACTACTTGCGTCATTTAGAGATGAATATCATGGAGTCCAATCAAATTGGAGTTTCTGTCATTTTTTTTAAAAAATGAGTGTAGCTGATGGAAATGAAGACCTAACTTTCCAAAAATATGATTTAAGCTAAGATTAAAATATCCTTAGTTTCTGTGGAGTTACCAAAAAATATTTAGAATAGAGTCTTTTCTATTATTTGTTGGTTCTTCCTTTTTTCCTTTTTTTAATGAGAATTTTTACCATCTCTCTTAGATCTTGCTCTCATTAAAAATTTTAAGATCTTATTCTCATATTTATTTCTTTTTAAAAGAAAATCTTTAAAACTTAACAAATAGACTTTACTTTTTTAGAGCAGTCAGGCCACAGCAACGCTGACGAGAAAGCAGAGAGGCTTCCCACACACCCTCCCTGCCCTTGCTTGGCTCCCATCACCATCAACACCCCTCACTGGCGGGCACATCTGTCATATTCTTTCTTTAAAAGTCTCACTAGGGGATCTCCCTGCCGGTCCAATGCCTAAGCCTCCATGCTCCCGATGCAGGAGGCCCAAGTTCGACATCTGGTTCGATATCAGGGACCTAGATTCCACAAGCTGCATCTCAGATGCAATACAACCAAGTAAACTGATTAAATACTATTTTTTAAAAATCTCATTAGAAACCACATCAGGGCTACCTGAGCCTCCCTCACCACTAACCTAAGACCAAACCTCCGATATTTTCTTTGCTAGAGAATACATATTCATTTGGCTACACCAGGTCTCAGCTGCGGCATGTGGGATCCATTCCCGGACCAGGGATGGAACCTGGGCCCCCCGCTGTGGGGGCGCAGAGTCTCAGCCACTGATCACCAGGGAGGCCCCTCCAGTATTTCCTTTTATGGATGTACGAAGGCAGAGACCTGCTCGTTTTAGTCCATCCTTGTATTCCTGGTACCAGACACAGATCAGGCACTCAGGAAATATCTGCCAAACAAAGGGACTGATGAATGAAGCACAAAGTCTGACTGTGGACTCTGACAACCCTGAAATGTGGTACACCACCTGTGCCAACACACAGCCTCCCCAGGTTTTGAATCTAAATGCTTTACACGTATAAACTCACTTTGTCTTCACAAGAACCACAATGGCGGGTGCTACTCTG